GGACTGACGACAGAACCTCACCGCTTCTCTCCGACAGGTTACAGTAATTTAGTCTGAGTAAACAACATGAAAAAAAATAAAAATACAATCTATAATAAAAAAAGTATTTTCTTGTGAAAATGCAGTGTAAATGCTGACTGATGAACGGCTGCTTAACATTGGCTAAAGAATATGACACTGATTTATGAAAGCTAAATAAAAGTTCGCTATACTAGAAAAAAACAAGCTAAATTTAGCTAAGAAGTAAAACTAGCAAAACAAGACAATAGCTAACTAGTAACACCACTAGCAAAAAGTAAAAGAGGTCATGCTCTAAAACTAGCATAAAGCTAGCAGCAAACTGTTTACTAAACACAAAAATAACAAAACGCTGTCTAAAACCTAAAGTGTAAAATGCTTGCTAGAATCTAAAAGTAGGAAAACAGCAACTAAAAACTACAAGTAGCAGAATGTTAGCTAATAGCTAAAAGTAGCAAAACCGTAAGTAAAAGCTATGGTAGAAGGTTCTGATGCATGCTCAATAATCCAGGTCAATCTAACAAGGGTCAGGTCCTCCTCACGGATTCTTCTTGCTTTGTCTTTTATCCAAAAGACTTCTTCAGTCTGAGTTTGCTGCAGGGTCCCAGACTGAAGAAGAAACGTTTCAACAAGAAGAATACGTTTAGAAGACCTGACTTAACCTTGTTAGATCAAAACTAGAAGAAGCATAAGACAAACAAGCCTCTTTACAATTATTGTATTGAACTGAAGGACTCTCATTGTACAGTACATATCTGGAGAAATGATTTGAAAATATATCCATCCACTCATCCATTATCTGCTGCTTTTTCTGGAGTCGGGTTGTGGGGTTAGCAGCTTGAGCAGGGGGACCCAGATATATTTTACCACAACCACCTCTTTCACTGATTCTGGGAAAATTCCCAGGCTAGTCGAGATGTTTTCCCTGGGGTCTTCACCCAGGTGGACATGCCACAAACACCTCTCTAAGTAAGTAGGCCTGTACAGGGGGCATTCTTACCAGAATTCCCTAGTAATTTTTTTAAATTAGCGATATGATAAGCTGCTGATTTGTTAACGTTGCGGCGCCACCTCTCACTGTTCCTCTCATCAGGCACAGCACGGCTAAATGAGTTCTGACCCGTGGTTTGTTTCAGGGAAGGAGGCTGAAGTGTGTCAGCACTGCAGCTGCAGCAGTTCACACACGCTTACTAATGTCGTGACGGCGGCGCAGCTGAAGAAGATTATTATTTAATATATGTAAATAAAGGTCTAAAAAATAAACTAATATATGTAAATAGTTTAATTTTTAGACATTTATTTTGTACAGTTACAGCTGTTTACTAAATGTGCCTGTGTGACAACTGGGACAAAGCTTTGACTCAAATGTATTTTTGTTATTACTTTATGGAAATAAAAAAAATATTGAAATATATATCGTATATCGCGATTAATTTTAAAATATCAAGTTATTAATTTTGGTCCATATCGCCCAGCCCTACTGTCAAATTAAATTTTTAAATGGCTGCCAGGTGGCAGTCCTCATCAAAGATTCTCCAGGAACTTTCTAGTTACTTCCACTGTCTAACAACATCACTGGTTGAGGTCAAAAGCACCCCAACTCCACTATACACCATATTTGTAAATTACTTCTTCTGCTGCCTCAGCTGCTTAAGAGTTTTTCAGAATCTTGTCAAACCAATCAAGAGTCTCCATCTTAGGCCTCATCAAACTCCTTCTACACCCGTTGCCTCATCAACAACTAGGGCAGGGCTATCAACTAAATTGCTAAGGGTGCCAAAGCTACCGAAAGCCAAGTGCTCAGGTGCTGGAGATCCAGTAGTTATTCTCATTAAGTATGTTTGTTTTATGGTTTAAAATCTAGTCTTGTTCTTAAATGAACCCATTGGTGGGCCGAACTGAGCTCACCTGTGGGCCTGAGTTGGCCCCCGGACCGCCAGTTGAATAGCCCTGAGCTTGGGCTTCAGCTTGCTTGGCATGACAATGCCTGTCTGCCTCTGGGGGCCTAACAGCTAACAAGACTGCCACAAGAGGCAAAATCAACCTTGCAGTCACGACTCAGGGTCACATCTTCAACAATGGCAGCATGTCAATGTTTCTTACCTCTGCTGGGATGCAGTTAAAGCTTTGTCATACTGTAGATGGGAGCTGAAGGTCTTTCTATTGGGTTCTGCTGGAAGGTATTCCCAGCAAACCTTCACTAAACATTTGAGTCTACCTCATCTTTCCCTGCCACCTGATCCAACCCACCACCAGCCCTGCACCTCCACCTCCTTTTTGTTCCAAACCCATACTGTGCACTGAGGGGCGAGAGCCTGGATGTATCTAATCTGTACCTCTCAACCTCCTGTGCAAGCTCAGGCTTCTTCCTCTCCAAACAAGGACAGTTATATGGCCTAAGAGCCAGCTTTGGCAAGCTAGGATCAGAGCGCCGAGCCCTACGCTGCCGTCCAGCTCCAATCATAGTTCATTATGGTGGTGGGGCCACAGAAATGTGAATCCAAACAGCCCATGGGGGCTGAGCCCGACCAAGCCCCAAATGTAGAGGCCCGGGCATCAGGTGCTTGCCGATGAGCCCATCCCCCACTACGGGGAGGGTAAAGGTAAATAATTTACTTTACTTTTAGAAAAGTAAGTTGTAAATAAATTGTGTCGTTCACGATTAAGTCTATCTGACCTGAGAGTTTCCAGGTGACAGTGTGAACTCTTCAGAGCAACAGAAAGCAGCTTCACTCCTGAGTCCTGCAGGTTGTTGTTGCTCAGGTCCAGATCTGTGAGACCGGAGGACTGGGAGCTGAGGACCGAGGACAGAAATTCACAGCACCTCTCTGACAGGTTACAGCAACTCAGTCTGAAGTGACAAAACAGGTTAAAACATCAGATTTGTGATTAAAATAAAACACGTTTCATATTGAACATGAACAAAAAATGACATTCTTTACATGGTCGTGTTTTTGTTATTTGAGAACAAACAGCTCTGATCAATGCCAACCTTTAGAAATCATTGCTATTTCAATCAAGTAGTTGTTAGTTTTTTGTATGTTTATATTCATGTTGTGTTGCTGAATATTTTACCCACATATTTGTGAAGAAAGTTTGTTCTTGTTAACATCTGTTCTGATAAAACTCATTAAATTGTGTTAAACAATAAAAAAACCCTCCTGACCTGAGAGTTGCCAGTTGACAATGTGGACTCATGAGTCCAACAGACAGAAGCTGGATTCTTGAATCTGTCAGGCTTGTGTTACTCAGGTCCAGTTTTTTTAGATTACAGGACTGGGCACTGAGAACTGAAGACAGAACTTCACAGCTTCTCTTGGAGAGTTTCCACACACTCAGCCTGAGGACAAAAGTAGGAGAAATAAATAAGTATTTTTAAAAAGCAGGGGGAAAAGGTTTTTGTGAAAATGCAGTGTGAATACTGACAGCTGAAAGATGTCACTGAAACTGGCTAAAAAAAGAAGCTGTTGCTAATTAAAGCTAAAAGAAAAATGCTAGCTGAAAGTCAAAAGAATAGTAGCTAAAACCTAACAGAAGCCAAATGTTAGCAAAAAGTCAAAGGTATTAAAACGGATAAATACTAAAAGTTGTAAAATACTATCCAAAATGTGTAAAATGCTATAGCTAAAGCCCAAAGTAGCAAAAGCCCAGCTCATAGATAGATGTAGTAATATGTTAGTTAAAAGTTAAATGCAGCAAAAGCCAGGCTAAATGTTAAAAATAAGAAAATGTATGTACAGAACAACAACAGAAAAAATGAATAAACAGGAAATCAATGATGAATCAACATTCATACAAATATATTTATCATTAAAATTAAACTAATCTCATTATGAATGTGAACTGAATAATAATAAATAATTATCCTGATGCGTGCTCAATAATCCAGAAAAATCTAACAAAGTTAAGTCAGGTCCTCTAGACGGATTGAAATAATAAAATAAAAAATAAAAAAAACTTGTTGAAACGTTTCGTCTTTAATCCAAAAGACTTAACTAACTTTGTTTGATTTTTCAACCTGGATTACTGAGCACGCATTAAGATATTTGGAACCAGTTTGGCCAGGATTGCACTGATGAAGTCTTTTGGATTAAAGCCGAAACATTTCATCTATATATATACATATATGTATATATATAAATATTTAATCCGTCCAGAGGACCTGACTTAACTTTGTTAAATAAATAAAGTTTACTTTGTAACATGTTTATGTGGTGCCTGAAAAAATACATGGAACAAGCAATCCACAGCACGGCTTAAGATTTCTGTGCTGGAACCAGAGTGTATCAGTGACAATCTGATTCAGGCATTAGGGTGTTGTGACGTTAGCTTTGTGTCATAGTAACATCAAAATGATTGAATTATCTTCTCAGCAAGGTCATCGAGGTCAGCAGTAGCCTGTTAAAGACATTCACAAATCAATGGCGTCAGAAGCATTTGTAATGTGTGTGTGTGTGTGCGGGGGGGGGGGGGGTAGGATGCTTGTGAGA